GAGGGGGAGCATGGGAAAGGATGACACAGTTGTCCCTCAGTCTTTCTCCAATCTTTGCCGAGCGTCTGTTAAGTGCTGTCATAATAACAACAACAACATTAAACTTACAGCCCTTTGTCCACTGTTGCTGGATGAAGGCCTTCACAAAGGCGGTTGGTTGCCCGCTCGGTCAGTGCAGGTTGGTGAAGGGTTCGGGGTTTCACTCGCCACTGACGTTAGCCACGGCTGGGAATCAAACTCAACGGGAGGCCGGGTCCTGGATATATTCTGTGAACCACTGTGCCATTATTGAGCACATGCTGTCTCAAAATGGGCGTGCTGAAGTGATCGTGTCCATCTGCATCATTGGGTTATGAGTGGAAATTGTAACATTGCTGTATGGCAGGGGCCACTATTTCTATAGTGGCACTTTGAGATTTAATTGATCTTATGACTGCGAGTCAGGTGCGCCGACTCATCACCACCCAGCTAGATTCCCATTATTTCTTTAAAATGTTAATGCTATATTTATATTAGCTATGATTTTAATTCGTGGCCAAAGCGAATATCTGTGACGGAGTGATATCTGAACCGGTCCTTCACCAACCCGCAAAGAGGAACGTGGCGAAGTGTGGGCGATGGTTCACAGTTCATCTCCTCGTCATGGAGGGGGGGGGGGGGTCAATCCGGCCCATCATCCTTGCAGGGTCAATAAAATGAAAACATTGCTTTGTGGGAAGTCGACACGGGGTGGTTCCGTCCAATGGCGAGAGATTGGCACTCTTGAGTGATTGTGATGCATTCCACCACCGGACATGAGTGCTTCCCCAATGCCAGATTGAGTGAGTAGAAATTCGTCTTGACTTCAGATGCGCTACTTGTAACTAGTTACTTTCCAACACCCCCGCCCTTCACAGAACGCATTCTCAGCGCCAACCTTGCACCTGGGGGACGCTTTGTCCAATTTTCCCTGTGCGGCAGAGTGAAGCTAGAAAGACTCGTGAGAGTCGGTGCAATAGGCCAAAAAAAAAGCAATTACACTAACGGGCAGAAAACAGCCCCTGACACTTCACCAGCATCTCAACCGTTACTCCCTCTTGTCTCGGTGGCACCCTGTCCTATCATCACTCCCCTCTCTAAACACAGCCAATCTATAGATCCTCCGTTCAGGCTTCTGGACTGTATATGGGAGCATGTTGTTAAGTGAGCAAATGTTAAGGGCAGAACGGGTGCTGGGGCCAACACCACACACATGTGGCCACCTTGGTCTCCTCACTGACGATGTTTAGACACTGCAATGTACATTCATGACATCGGGGAGGACCTAGACACGGTTGTGCATTATGGCCAGGAATTGAAGGCGGAGTGCTGAGATTGCATTACAGTGTTCGAACAATGTCAACACGATAATACCAAATAATCACCTCTATAATCTACAGGTGCTGTTTGCGAGCACCTATTGAGGACTAGTAGTATGTCGGTCGTGTGGCCAGCATCAAACTCAGCCGCCTTTGTCTCCCCAGTCCGTATGCTTCGCACGATACTTGGTATTTATTTGAAGCGGAGTTGACTGACCGAAAACTCAGGACCCGTTCAGGTATCACTCATTTTGCTGCTTTCAGCTGTGACCAGGAATCAACCTCAGGTCGGCCGAATCACAGCGGATCGCGCTTACTGCTTCGCCATCGCTCCCCATCACACCATTCCCACACACACACACGTGCACGCGCACGAGCAAACGCACGCACACGCGCGCGCGCGAAATCACGCACTCGCATATCCCAATCTAACACTCGCACGCGCCTTACATATCGAGGGACACGTTCGCAACGAACGCAGGCAGCAGCGAGAACGTGTCCCAACGCGCGCAAAGAGCACACAACTCAACCATCAGCCGCACGCGGACGCCACTCCACAACCCACTACGCCAAAGGTTCTCTCTAAACAAAACCTCTCTCCTGCCACCCACTCTGTGACACTCGCAGTCTTAACCCCCCCTCCCGCCACAATCTGCGCCGACCATCTATCCTGATTTTACCCATCCGCGCTCCGCTCGGCATTTTCATCACGTTGGAGAAACGACGCTTCGATTGAGACTCAAGCGCGCGCGCGCGAGAGAGAGATAGATAGAGAGAGAGGCGTGCGATGGGGCCACGGCGGACGGGAGAGGAACGTGTGTAACGTTGCCCGTCGCTTTCCTCGCGAGCGCCATTGGAGGACGGATGAACGGGCGGCCTCCCGCACGACGCCTTTTTGTTAGCCCCTCAAAGCGGGGAAATTTCGCTGTGAAATAATAATGTCAGAAAAATATATAAAGGAATCAAAGCGAGCGCTTCGAAAGTATCTTGGCTGAATAAATTAGATGGACGATTTGATACTTTGCGCGAAGTTTCCGTGCATCTTTTTTTGAGCTTTTTGTCAAAAACTGAGTCATTATTTTTTCACATTTCACTTTTTCTTTTTTTTACTAGGATGTGTGTGGTAACGGTGATTTGGCTGTTTAAGGGTGAATAGAGTTGTGCTATCCGAGTCTGATGGCCTTGTTAAAAATAATTCAGCCAACAGAACTCTGCAACCTGGGTTTGAATCCGGGTTCCAGCGATTGAAATCGGTTCTCGAGTGCAAAAAATGCGGCGGTGTCGCTTTGCTTGTTATAATTCTGACCACTGCATTCACATTTTACTCAAATGGATCAAGCAAGATCTGCAAAGACAAATGGTGCATCGTCATCGAGCATTGGATGTAATGTGGCCGCACGGCTCTCTCAGTAGTTGTACGACGACGTCATCTTGCTGGATGACCTATGGCGCTTAGCTCGCTTATGAGATACATGGATTTCCCTTGTCTCCTGATCCGAGGCCATCGGCACGGTTGGAATGTTGCATAAATAACCCAAATAGGTGGCATGGAGCACTGTTTCTATGTCTGGTCTTCCGAGATTAACAAAGCAGCCGTGCTTCACTGTTATAAAAAAAAACTCAGTGGAGAGTGCAGCTCGCAATGGGAGAGGATCCGAATTCGAATCCTGGCTGGGGGGGGGGGGGTTGACTTATCCCGTCCTCCCTCTAGGGCTGCCCTATGGACGGACAGACCCCGTTCCTTGCCGCAGACATGCGGAATCTCCGCCACTGGCTGAGACCTTTAAAACAGAACGCGAGCAAATGCTCCAATGCTCGTGTGAGCAGAAAATCGTTGGCTTCACTACGAATGAACGACACTCGATTTTTTTTTTGTTAATCAGGAGTGGTTGACTGGAGTTTGAACTCGGGATATCAGCGGTGCCGGCGCATTTCCCCTTCACGTCTCACGCCAGACTTGCGAAACCCGGCCTGCAGCCACATAAGCGTTCGTTCCTATTGCCATGGCAACGCAGTAGTGCTTCTGCGAGTGGCTTTATTTAATGTTTAATTATTAAAGTTACTCCAGTCCAGACACCTGCACTGATGAGATTTTCCGAGAAGTACCGGGCCCCGTTGCGTGCGCTGTCGACGAGCAATCGGTCTCGCTCACCAAATGCCTTTTCCAGTCCCCTGTGATTTGGGAAGCAATGCTAAGTGTTCTATTTCTCTATGAGAATTGTCATAACAGAAATTGTATTTTTTTTCTTTTATTTATGGCAGATTACATCCCGATGTCGTGGGGTGGGTGGACTGAACGGTCGCAATTACATTTCTTACTATTATTTATGGAGGGAGTGTGTGGGTGGGTGGGGAGGAGTGGTGGCATAGTGGTTAGCGCACTACGATATGAACCTGACGACCTAAGTTCAATTCCAGCTTACGGCTCATGATTTATTCATGCGATCTCTCGTTATAGAAATGTAATTCGGGCGGAAGGCGCTGTGGGCAGAGTGCTTGACTCAAAATCAGATGGTCACAAGTTCCAATTCCCAGTCGGGAGTCAACAAAGCACGTGATTTCTTTGTGGTGAATAAAATGAACATGACTTCCAAGGAAGGTCAATAGCGGTTGTAGTTTTGGAGTGACTGGGCCCTTGTTATAGAAACGTGGAATTTCCACCAAACGGTTCAGGCTCAGGGCTGCCAAAGAACACGTAAGATATCCGCAATGATTGTTTGAACGGGATGACATTTTGAGGTGGAGTCGGAGCGTGGTGGGATTGTGTGGCCACTGAGGTGTGGACGCACAATGCATCATTATGTTCGAGGAATGGATTTCGCTGGCGAGCTGCTTTAAAGTCACACCTAGGGATATTTAAGAGATCATGCCTTGTTCATCAAGGCCAAGATGAAATTAGATTATGTGAAGTGCACGCTTTGATTGTTTCTGGGCGTGTTTTTTTTCTCTCTCTCACCTTGCACAGCCGGATGCTGTTCCTGCGAGACGTTTGATCGAGTTCGCCGCATCGCTCTATAACGCGACATTATTTACCCTCGGCAAATGAACTTCCGTGAATAAAAAGAGACTTGAGGGTTTCATTGAGGAGGCGGGTTCAACCCAACGGTTGAGGACACGTGCCCTCGGGTCGTTGTGCGCGTGCCACTCACTTCCCCTGAAGGAAGCTCCCCACAGCCCTTGGCACTCGACGCCTAACCACGGCCACGCGGCGCAGCGCGAGAACACGTCTCAGAGTCACGTCGACAGCGTCGTCCACAATGACTTTTTGACCTTGACTTTTTAAATCTTGTCGTCTTTCCCATTCCCATGACCTCTCTGACCTCTCTCATCTTGCCGCCACCCCACCCCTCCTAATTCTAGATTTGAAGCTTTCGTGACTGCAAGGATTCATATTCTTGGGTTTTTTCGGTAAAGTCACGTAGGTAAACAAAAAAACTTGATACAGCAATCGTGCTGTGACGGTTCCACCTGAAGACGGACGCGTGTGTTGCCTACGAAACGTCGTGATTTTTTTATTTATTTTTTATTTTACTTTTATTAATTTTAATTTTTTACCTACGTGACTTTTTTATTTTTTTTATTTTACTTTTATTTATTTTAATTTTTTACCTACGTGATTTTACCCACCACCCCCCCCCTCTCTCTCTCCCCCTCGACCCTCAGTACCGCCATGGGCCCTGGTCGCCATCGCCGTGGTCGCTGGCCTCCTCATCCTGTGCTGCTGCTTCTGCATCTGCAAGAAATGCTGCTGCAAAAAGAAGAAGAAGAACAAGAAGGAGAAGGGCATGAAGAACGCCATCAACATGAAGGACGTCAAGGACATGGACAATGATAAGGTGGGAGTCTGGGCCTTAACCTGGTTGCTGGGTCAGTGGCTCTGCCATGGCCGTCATGGACTCGCTGAGAGAGTGAGAGAGACAGAAGGAGCCAAAGAGACACTTGCCCCGGGAGACTGAACTCAGGAGCTCAGAGATTGCCGGCTCATTGGCTCCAACATGGCCATTATGAACTCTCTGATAGAGAGATGATCAGCCTCAGGGTTCGAATGCATGACCTTGCCTGTGCTGTCTCTGCGGCTCTGACACTACCATTATGAACGCCCCCCCCCCTACCCACCCCCCCACCCACCCCGCCCACCTTCGGGAGAGACATCCTCCCCCAGGCCTTCAACCCATGTTTTCAGCTGTGCTGGAACAATGACTACAACATGGCAATTATGAGCCCCCTGAGATAGAGGGCACCCAGCTCCAGGGCTTGATGAAGCATCTCAGCCGTTGTCAGTGCGGTGGCTCTGGAATTGCCACTTTGAGCTTTCTGAGCCATATGGTCACCTTGATAATGTTTAATTTTTTTCAAAAGCCACATGTGCACTTACACGTGTTTCGCTGAACTTAAGGGTTGTTTGTTCTTTTGCGGTAGTGCCGTCATTGTTGGGGAGTTATGCGTTACTGTAGTCAGATTATCGTCGTCGTCATCATCATCATCATTAACCATGATCGATCCGCTGCTGGATGAAGACTTCCCACACATGGACGCCGTTTCTCTCGGTCCTGCGATGTCACGATCCATCTCTCATCACGAAGCAAAGTAATAATCAGATAACCAAACGGAAAATATTAGATAATCCCCTACTGCTTCATTTCAAATGTGTAATCAAAGTAGTGCTACTCCACAAGTACCCGTTGATTACTTTTTTATATATAAATTACTTGCCTAAAAAGAAATATATATCCGAATGTAAGGAAAGTTTAGTTGATTGCTCTGTAAAATGGCTCTCAAGAGCTCCCTGTTGCTGTGAACGGGACGTGAGCGTACAATTGCAGGGCTGCAACGTTACCCTTTATTTTAGATTATTTATTTCGTTCCCATCGCATTCCGTTCTGAAAAATCAGGCGCATGTCCGTTGGCCACATCACCCATTTGCACTCGTGCCAGGCTGGTTTGCAGCTCATTGGCAATGCCAGCTTCTCAAAGCTATTCAACTATATTTATTTTGCCAGGTAAGGCCCACTCAGCTATATATCTATTTTTCGGAACTGACTTGGCTATCACAAATGATAGCCCAACGAAGTTGCTTATAATCACGTGGAAATTTACAGCAGCCAAATACTCTAAACGCCACGTTTCTAAATGTGAAGGGAAAAACCTGTAGGACCCGGAGAAAAATCCACGCGACCACAGGGAGCGAGAGAGAGACACGCAAACTCCAAATATACAGCAGCAGCAGGCGTCAGGGTCGGGATCAAACCCACAACCTCCCACACACCAGGCGAGGCAGTCAACATCTCGCCACCGTTTTCGATCACTCAAAAGCGCCGAGCGATGGACGAGGTGCCCGGTGCCCGATGCCATCAAGGAGCGCCGGTGGTCACCGTGGCGGTATAGCAGCGGCCAGGACTCACGGACGGAAACGACCAACGAACGCTGCGTGCAGCGACGATGAATCAAACGCGGCCTTAGCGAGGGGCGGAGGGTGGCTACTGAGCGCGATCAATACTCGGTAATTATTCTGCCAAAAATTAATGTCCGGGCGGCGGGTAAATGGGTCCAGGCGGCGATCGGGACCGCCTCACAATCTTGGCCGAGTCTGCTATTAAAATTCATCTCGGTGGAAGCGAGAGAGCGCTCGGAACGCCGTGTGATCCCGATTGGACGAGCAACCTAAGAGCAGTGCAGGGGAAATGAAAAATTTACACTCCCCCCCCTCCTCCTCCTCGCCCGAAGGGAAATTTAATTTAGTTCGCACGTTCCCCGCAAGCCAACACTTTGGGAGGTGGGAATTGGTGGATCGCGTTGAGATTTCCGGCCTCCAGGCTGCGACGCGGCCTTCGCGCGGCAGCTTCAGCGAGCGGCTCGCTGAAGAAGTGAAGAGATAGTAGTCGCCCTCCGTGGAAGAGATAAAAGCAGCATTGACATACCCACAACTATCAAGGCGGCGCGTGCGTGCGCACACGCGCGCGTGCACGTACGCCCGCTTCGTTATCACCGCTGAGAGTTTGAAGGAAGCTTGCCGACAGGTGCTGGAGGAACTGCATAAAATAATCAAAGCCACACGGAGTAGGGAAGAGTTGTCACAGGGATGAAAAAGGCCATTATCGTACCGTTACACACCGGAGGGGAATAGGAACGAGTCTGCTGTTGCCTGGCGCAGACATCGCCTGGGTCCAGAGCTACGCCATCACTCGGCGCACGGCCCTGTTTGCACCGAGCGAAAGAATCAGAATCTTTATTTGGACTGGAGGAGGATATCCGCAGAGCGATGAAGTTCCTCTTCGCCGGTGTCCGGCATGGGCGACGGGGGGGATGCTCGACCGTGTCTCGCCGCGCGGTGGATCGGTGCCGGTTTCGGCAATTAAAATTCCGCGCTTGGTTGTGTGCTCTGTCAGTAAAGCAATAGCGCGTCGATAAATGATAGCAGGTCAAGCCTTCAGGGCCCCATTATCACGCGGATTGGAATATTGTCACGTGTCTGCTACTTTCCACAGGAATTTTTTGTGCGCTCTCCAGCGAAGGTTGTCGGAATCGCACTTTCCGCCGATAAGAGGAATGTACTCTTTGGTTTTTTCGGTAAAGTGACTTTACCGACAAAACCAAAGAGTATGAATCCTTGCAGTCACGAAAGCTTCAAATCTAGAAGAGAAATGTATCGTCGCGGTTTCAAAACGGAGACACCTGGGAAGAGTGAGTTGCCGAAGGAGGGGACCCACTCGAGGGGACGTCCAGAGCAATGCGATTCCATGGATCGTCGCATCTGAAAACCACGAGGAATGGTGACGGCTTCCAGCAGTGGATAGATCATGGCTGCTGCTGCTGCTGGTGATAATGACGAAAGTTTCAGCGCAATGAGTGAATTAGTAAGATGATGACTATTATGGCAGTATAAATGTAAATAAACAACACGTACGACAAAATAAAGTTGTTGCTGCATCAGTCACGTGCCAGTTATTCAAAGTGTCCTGACATCTGCGAGGCGTGATCGCAATTTACACGCTCTCGCTGCCACAAAAGCCACATCGTAAAACTAATTCAAGCCCGTAATATGCTCACAATTAAGCTCTCCAGTTTACCCATCTAATGTACAAACATTTAAAAAGTTAGTTATTGTGATGGCTTTCTGGGGGTATTATTTATTTTTGAGTATGTGTGCTTATTTGCCATCAACCGAAAAAATGTTCGCGTTCCGTAGTTTTCCTTTTTATTTAGCGCGTAGGGAGAGAACTGAAGTGGCGTTGGGTTTAATTGCAATTGGGGAGGGTGGGCAGTGTGTGTATGGGGGAGGGGGGGGGGGTCGATGATGGAGGGACCCGCGTCAGTCACACCGTGGTCGTCACGACGAGACAGGATGACGGGATGCGTTGTGTAACGCTCCCTGCTGCGCGCGCTTCCCGGTAACGTGGGTTTGCTGTGTCCTGCGCCGTTTATGCCTCTGATTTTGTTGATTTCATGTCTCCCTCCCCCCCCCCCCCCTTCTTTCTTTTGACGCTCACCGTTGCCACCAATGGGCCTCTGGATCGCGACGGGTCGGACTCCGTGCGACGTCATTTCTCGGTGAGTTCCACGCCACGTCCGTTGAAAGTCTCTCACGCACTCCTCACCGCGACCTGACCTTCCGCGAGTTATCTTTGCACTCCGTCTTGCTTGGTCGAACGGACGCGAGGGACCGTGGAAAAGTTTTGAAATGGAACGGTGGTGCGAAAAAGAAAGTTGCCCCAGCCTAACATAATATTTATTCTTCATTCGATGAGGTTGGCCCATGTAAAAAAAATAACAAGGCGCGATACTGGTGTAAGCCTGAGATCCCATTCAGGTTTCGGTCAACATGGTTAAACAATTGACTCAAGTGTCGTGAGTTTATGGCCCCACTGCCATCAACTCCATCTATGCCACCATTATTTTCACCACCACCACCATATTCACCATCACTCCTACAACCATCAATAACACTGCAATCCATCCATATCGCTTTACTCCTGCCCTCAACTACTAAGATTAAAAAAGCACACATTATTGTTCGTGTGTTACATTTAGGACCAGCTGATGTTAGGAGTATGAAAAATAAGAATAGATTTGACCCTTTCTGGCAATAAACAGGAGGTGCTAAGATGTTCAAACACCAAATAGAAACGTTTTTAAAGGAATCAAAGTTCGCATTAACCACTCAGAGTATTTGTGGTGGACATGCAAACAAACATGCTCTGATAACAAACGCATTGTCTTTGAAACTGATTGGCCGACACCAGAGACAACCTTTTTTAGGGCCTCGTCTCACCAGTGTCAGCCCAGAGAACAACGCCAAAAGGCGAACAGCACAAACACAATGCCACATCAGCTGTTTTATTGCCAGATACTGGCAAAAAAGGTCTCATTTTGATGTTGTGGGGTTATTTCTTCTTTCGTTTGGCATGGGGGGGGGGCAATTTTGTTTTATATATCTATATAGATGTCGTAGTTGGGAAATAACTGTAAGAATTGCATTCTACACATCTGCAATAAAAAAAAAGTAAATGTTGTCTACGGAGAAATCAACTTCAAAAGCGAATCTGCTCTTTTACATCACAATGTTGTCTGGAGTAAAGCGCAAAAAAAACCTCTTAATTAATTAACTCTTGGCTGAAATATGACGTGGATGCAAACAAGAGACACATTTGCACATGTGCTCATTTTCACGAATACTAATTAAGCGGCAGAGACGTGCGCGCGTGGGTTCTCAATATTTAAATATTAATTCTATAATCCTTCACGACTTAAACGCCTAATTCCAAAAGATGTTTTTTTTTTTTGCACTAGATTCACCGGTCTGGCAATTACAGGAGCCACAAAATTGTCTCGAATTGCC